TCTTTAGGGAAAACTTAAGCCTCATTGAGTGCTGTGAACCTGGGATTCCCAAAGTTTGGACAGCCGTCACTCTCTGTAGTGGCCGACACAGTGCCCTTTGCCAAACCACCACACATCTCTCCTCACTGTCCTACTCAGTGGTCCCGTTTCCCAAAATGTCTTCAACCACATGTTTTATTTCTCCTCCTTTCCAGAGGCCAACTCTAGTCCACACACAAATGCCCCAGTCTCGTCTCATCCTCACCATGCACCCCTGAAGCAGGCAAAGGGCACTGAGGTGAGCTTATTTTCCCTACACTTCTTCCAAATCCCTGCATGTGGTTTCCTAACCCTGGGTCTAACACAGGCTCTCGCCCACTCTGTGTTCCTCACTCATGCCCTTGGCTTATCTCCTTGGTCCAGGTACCAGGGCTGGCTCAGGTCCCACAGGAGAGAGCTGAGCAGGGCAGAAGATGTGACTGAAGACAACCAGCTGGTGGGCAGTAATGGCTCAAGCAGGCAAACACCTCTAGGCAGGTGGAGTCAGGTATTGCCCTTATTTTGAAGCAGCTTCTAAACCATCTTAGAAACAGCTCTAACCAACATAACTGAAGTCAAGCTCTCTCCTGGTGCAGTTAATTACACCTTTCAAAGCAGAACAGAGTCAGTGAAAGTGACTGGCTGCCCCACTTATACAGGAAACCACGTTCATTAGAGGACTAAAGCATTCGCAGGGAAGGGAACTGAATCCACACCTTTTTGTGAATAAAATGGAATTGAGCCCACAGCCCACCAGCACAAGCTAGCATTAAATCACCAGCACGCAGGAGGCGTTGAGGGCTCCTTCTCCAGACACGCCATGAGAACACCCACCTCGCCAGGGAAGCAGGAGTGCACATGATTTCTGGTGTCAGACCAGCCTGTCACCTAGTCCCAGCACCACCAGCACCGAGGTCCTGGGTGAGCCGGGAACTATTTGACACTGAAGGATTTAGAGAAGCACAGGAGGAAGCTTGCAGCTCCGTGTGGCCTGCAGAAGAGTTTGAGGAAAGTGTGTTTTGGGATCAGGCCCAGTTCTTCAAGGGTACTTAGACGCTAACTCAAATTGTTTACAGTGGAGACAGCTGCCAACAGATTTTTCAAGATCTTAGCCCCTTGGACCAGGAGAAAGAGGCTAAGAGAAGTGAAGTCACTCAAGGCATTCAAGTCAACCGCATACCAGGTGGGACACCGAGTTCCAGCCCCAGTGTCACCCCAGAGCAGCGATGGCTTGGGTTCATCTGCTCGTTCCACACTGCCAGGGAAGCCCCTAATCTCAGCCCACGAAACCTGACGGCAAGGGCACAGCAGCACTGTGGAGAAATCCTGAAGATAATCTTCGACCTTTGCTATCTAGAGAGAAAACGCTTCAAGTAGGAATGTGTTTACCAGACTAATGCTAAAACAGTTCCATTATAATGACAAGCATGATGTTTCATCAAAATTCTTAGGAGATTTATATCTGCTGTAGCTCTCCTTCGGATGGAAGTTGGATGTAAAACAAACATATGTTTCTTGTTACAGTGCCGCAAAAAATCCATTGTTTCTGGGTTGACCGACTCAAAATGTAAAGAAATCAGTCTGCCATAACAAACATGATCTTCAGCAATCAAAACCTATTCTTATATTTCACTATAGTGAAATATAAGTGAAGCACAGGTTTGCTTAAAAGGGGTGAAAATGAATTAAAACTAAAACTGTCAAACTGCAGGATTAGCAATATCAACTCAGACTCTCTCTTAATTTGACACGTAATTTTGATGTGCTAAAGATGCTGGGAACTCAAACTACATAAAGACCTCAGTAATTTATAGAATCTGTACAGAATTTATATCCAAAAAACTACATTAAATGAAGATGAAAGTGTCAAAGTCAAGTTCAGAAACACAAGATGCCCCGTTGCCTTGTGCATTATGGCATGACCTTAAATTACAGGTTTGCATTTTTCCCAGCAGGCATCCCTCTCTCATTCTGGAATGCTTTGCAATCTTCTTCAGTGCTTTCTACGGGCCACAAATGTGTCAAATGTAAGTATTTCTGCACTTCCCATCAGAGGAATAGGGATGGCAAGGTCTTTCCTAAGTCTGTGAGATTTGCTCCTGGTACCACCACCTGAGTATGGATAAATACTGACACTTTCACCTTATGTTTTCAGACCAGATCTACTGAACCTAGACATGGATGCAATTACTCTGCACTTCTGCAGGGGTAGCCCCAAGCAGCATATATTAAGTATATTAAGCATTTAGCAAAATACTTAGTGTGCTTTCTGTGAACCAGGTGTCTTGCTCGGTGTTACAGAAGAACCTTGTGACAGCAGCAGAAAGAAAACCCAGTTCTCCAAACCAGAATGCTTCCTTCCTTAATCATCAGACTCTCTTTCCACCTCTGGCAATTCGATCCCCTGTACTGTTATCAAGCTTTTCCTTAAAATGAAGCAATTTTGCAGACAGCAAGCTCATGGTTGCACAGTTCTGGATCGCTCAGAGGAGCACACAACCTGCACGTGGAATAGGGCAGGACCCCACAGAGAGCTGCACAGGCAGGAGGGAAGAACTACAAGGAAGTTACAGATCTAAAAATCCCTACTTTTTGCAAGCCTATTCCTTCCCATCCCAGATATTTTTAAGGACAAATGTAAAGATTCAAAAATGGGATACACACCGACCCTCCAACTTGTCACCAGCAGGATTCAGATCTTTCATACAAAAAAAAAACAAAACACCCAAACAACTCATTTCCTCTAGCTACAGTTTAATGCTAATAGCTCAGTGTGCACAGAGGGGAACATCAGAGGGTAAAATACAAAATGTCTTCCAAGTTACTCATCAAATAGCCAGTAGCACAAGCACCCAAATCCCAAACTGCACATTCTAGATACGAGTTTACAGTCTCTACCACAAATCTGCTACAGCTCCTGGTTCCCAGGCAACAGATACCCCTCTCTTACACCCACCTCCTTCCTCCCTGTTTCTCACTATTTTTAGAATCTCCAAACCATCTCAAAGAATATACACCCATCTCTGCCAAAAAAAACCCCAACACATACATTTTCCTTACAAACATCATTCTAAGATACAACTAAACAGATCCCTGCACATGATGGGACCTTAAAGTTCAAAATGACCAATACAAGTTGGAAGCATCTGAAACCACGTCTAAATGAAAGCTGTCAAACCACCTCAGCCTCAGGGAACTGGCAAGCTCTTACCAGGGCTTCCTTTTCTCTCCTCCCCTTAAACTGCTATAAAGATCACTTGGGAAGTCTCTTTTATTAACTTCTACTACTTGCCTCTGACTTGAGTGTGAAGGGGTCAGTGATTTCAGACGCTTTAGGCCAATTGGAGCATGGCTGCTTTGTGCTCCACTCAAAGGTCAGCCTATTTTTAAGTGCCTGATGCCAACAGAACCCTTTTCTCCAAACCAAGTAATTTTTGAAAGACTTTTGAACCCCATTAATCATAATCTAAACCTGCAGCAGATGCTGCCTTTCTATAAAATCCTAGATTTTGTAGAAGTTGGACCAGCTATGCCTTTCAAGTACTACTTTCATACTTTCATTACATAATTAAGTCCTCTAATATTATTCTAACAGATAATGAAATAGTTCTAATTCTATTAGAAAAAAAAAAAATCAGTATTCTAATAATACCATAAATAGAAGTGTGAAACTTGAGGCCCATTAGAAAGTTCTCAAAAATACATCAAATTATGTATGCTTCAATCATAAGATTTTAGTACAGGAGATAAAAGAAGCCTCACATTCTTAATATCATCTCCGTAAAGACTTTTAAAGAACACCAGTCATGCAGATATTTTTGCAGCATTTTGGTTTACTGCATCAGGCTGTGAATTTTTGACATAAGTATTTCACCCAGGGATCACTGTATCCATCCTACAGATGTAAGCAACTGAAGCAAGCTGATAAAGGTTAACAAGAAGGATCAGCAAAGCTAAAAGACAGTTTCATCTCCAACTTCTAAACCCATATTGTATTTATCTGGTCATACCACTTCAAAACTACTGATATGTTTTGCTCCATATTTATGCAATTTATTTTTTTTTTTCCAAACTGCTCCAGCTTTTGGCCAATGGATTTTGCATTTGGCAGACAAGCATATGTAATAAAAAGAAAAAAAAGCCAAACTCAGGACTATCACACAAGATTGCATACTTCACAGAGAGGGCTATATGATAGGCTTTGTATTTTGCACGTAATACCAAAATCTGTCTCAAATTAACGCTACCGTTAAACTGCTGAAGACTAAACTCAAGGTCTTCAGCCAGCAACGGCTGGTATTTTCTGGATACAACTGAATTCCTTCTGTTTTTAAGCAGAGCCTGAATTGCATGTGTATGTCTAATGTCATTAAGTCTGACAGTTTAAACTACTCGATAGCAATCACTGTAACAATAGCATGCTTCAGGCCATAAAAAAAAAATACATGGGAAGTTAGTTATGCTGTTGAAAGCACACCAGTATAGCACTTTTACCCTTTAAAAGGATAAAACCCTCAAGAAGCTGAAATGAGACAATCATTACGGTTTAAATGAAAATAGTCTTTTAAGGATTAACAATCTATATTGTATAAAAAGCTAGTGAAACATTTCCTGATTTTATCACAAAGGAATCATATGTATTTTCCATTATTGTAATATGTATGTGCTTAGATGCACAGGATATGACATTCTGCCATCTCATGATGCCATTGTAACATTAAACACTGCTCCAGTATGGTTTTCTCCAGGCAAAAGTGATGAAGGAAACAAGCAATGCCTTTTTAATTTAATACAGCAACTAGCACCAACAACCTTGCACATTTCTTACCCCTACAACTGCAGAAAACAGCTGTACTACAAAAAAGGTAAGAAATAAAAAGCTGGAATGAAGACTGCATACCACTAAGCTAATATGTAATGTATATACTCATAGGAAAGATCCGAACATTAGCTTGTTAACATTTACAAAGAACTCTTCCAAGTAGATTTTATACTTTGACATGTTTATTTTAGTTGGATGAACAGATTCAATGAACAAGCTGAAACCGTATTCCTCAGCCTCACATTTGGCTCCCTGTAGGCTTCTATAACCAAATGTTTAAAAATATCAGAAATATGTGGATATTTGCATGAAGTAGTTCAATAGTTATTTCTTGTTCCATGCTTCTCTTTCAAGTCTTTCACGGATTACTTCTTTTAGGTATGGTTCAAGATAGGGCTTATCCTGAAAAAGAAGAGAATATATTTAAACTTATAGGCAGGTCCAGAAACACCTCAAGCCATTCCTATAGATAACTTGTCTCTCATTCCCCCTCAAATTTGACTAAAACCCAACGCAACAAGAAAAAACAAAAGAAATCAAACATTAATTACTCTCAAAAAGTAAACTGTATCTGCCAAGTCTGCAACAACAAGTTCTTTACTGCAGCAACCACTAATTCCTAATGCCTCGCCAACATTAACAAGCAAAGTCACGCTTCCAGCTATACCTTTAGAAACAATGTTCTTTTGGCAGATACCCAAAGTGCAAGATCCATTTTAGTCCAAAGTCCAAGTATAATACTCTGGAGCAACTTATTTTGAACTTAACTTCTAAATAGCACGGTAACTTGGATTCTGTGAAACACCTTGACCATGTTTAATTTTTACAAACCAGACTGCTGCTTAAGGAACTATGCAATCAGTTATTCAATGCAACAGTTACCTAAATATGAACAATAAGACCACAAGCCTCTGCTTATAATAGAGAAACATAAAACCCTCATACTAGTCTATGGTCAAAAGTCCAGTGATAAGGCTCCTCTCTGCCTGGTAATTTGCAGAAAGCCAACATGGACAGTAACTCAAAATCTGTGAATCAATCCGCTACAAAAATAAAAAAATCAGTAACATCTGAAAAAGAACGTGTAGTTTGTTTTTCAAATTACAAGACAACACTTATTTAATGCCAGATTTCCTTTTAAACTGGGGTTGCGTAGCCTGGAGAAAAGCAGGCTCAGAGGAGACCTTATTGCTCTCTACAACTACCTGAAAGGAGGTTGTGGCGAGGTGGGGGTTGGTCTCTTCCCCCAAGTAACAGGAGCTAAGACAAAAGGAAACTTCCTCAAGTTGCACCAGGGGAGGTTTAGATTGGATATCAGGAAAAAATTCTTCACCACAAGAGTTGTCAAACCCTGGAACAGGCTGCCCAGGGAAGCAGTTGAGTCACCATCCCTGGAGGTATTTTAAAGATGGGCAGACGTGGTGCTGAGGGACATGTTTTAGTGGCAGACTTGGCAGTGCTAGGCTAACGGTTGGACTTGACAATCTTAAAGATCTTTTCCAACCTAGATGATTCTATGAAATTATCCTTCCTTGGCATCTTCATGAATAAGAGCTTTGGCTTGAGATTTCCTTTAAATTAAGAAATTCATCAGAAAAGCAAGAGACCTTTTATAAGAACGCCAAACTAGTTACAGTGTAGTTATCTGATAGCTTAGAAGGAATATTTTGACTGAATACAAACACTCTGCTATAGCACTGAGCTGTAGTTTAAGCTTTTGACATCTTGAGAGGAAAAAAAAGTAATTTCCACTGAAAAACAGAGATTTTTAAACAGCAATCAAAAGCTGAACATGTAAGCATGTCTCTCTTCAGAGACTGAAGGTCCCAAAGACCAATCATAGCAGTGCCATTTAAGACCTGGGCCGTGGAAACACTCCACACACGCACCTCTTCATACTTCACCCACTGGTCTTTTGGAAGGATCTGATGTTTCAGGCTCAAGTCAAGTGCTCGCTTTATGCGAAATATTCTTTCATTGTAAAGATGTTCTGGAAGTCTCTTCAGTGCTTCTTTTACATCGTCATCCTCATACAACGTATCATCCCGCATTAATCCTGTACCAAAAAGATTTTACAACATCACTGAATAAACATTCTTAAGTACGATTTAAGACTGACACAGGTGTTGTGACATGACATGTGCAAAACACTTCCAATGCAAAATTATGTGAAAAATCAAACCAATCTAGGAGAAGATAACCACTAATTGCTCCCAGCAAACTCTAAACACTGGCTTACACATAGGCTATTTACTTGCTTTTAGTCCTCTTCTTATGGAGGGATGGGGAAATTGGATATTTGATACAATGTGTTTCATAAGAGTATATAGATACAGTACAATAACTACTCTGGATCTGAGTGGTGGACTTATGCTCACCTAATTTTCTGTCTGTATTTAAGCTGACTGCCTAGGTAAAGGGTTTAAGACCTCTGAACCCATTAGAGTCAGTCAACCACAGATGTGACTACTTCAGTACTGAAGAATTATTCTCTAAACTCCACCGTCCACAGTGACTAAATCTCCATCTACTATTTTAAGCCAGGTTTGTGCCTGGGTAGGTCTCCCACCCCGAATCAGAAGTTACATCAGGGAGAAGTACCCAGTCTTCTCAAAGCTAAGAGCACTCCCATGCTGTTTGTGGAACCAAGGACTCCTGAAATTCACCCAGCCTAACTTTAAATTTCACCATTAACAACAGAGGACAAAATGTAACATTCCAAGATTGATGCAGACTACAAGGGTATACCTACTGATTTGTGGTTAAAGGACTTGATCTTATGCGACTCCTGATAAAACAAAAATTTCTTTTGAACTACATAATCTTGAATTCAGTTTTGTAATTTATTTCAAAGGCGCAGGGAGCATGGCTGCTAGTTTAATCACTAGATTAAATTTGGTGTTTCTCCTCAGTTTTTATTCGCATTCCCAGAAAAGTGGCAAAAAGCATTAATATCTTTAAGAATTTCAGCAGACAGATACAAAGAGTGTCTAAGCACTGCATCTCTGGAGGAAAGATGTAAGCTCATTCCACCACAGTTGTCCTGCAATGTTTTCTTAACTTCCCCAGGGCAGGTACGTTAACTTCCTTTGAATTATTTGCTCTTGTGGTCAGCAGTCAATTACAGCCTCTGAATATTCAGATTCTCTCCTCATTCAAGAACAGTTCTGCCATCTGCATAGTTGAAACAAACTTCTTAACAACTCTGAACAAATTGACGACAATATCATGAAGGCAACGCTATTTTTACTCCTTTACCATTGCACAGGTCAGACAGATATCAAGTGAAGTTATGGTGATACAAAGGGCAGAACCAACTAAATACTTTTTTTGCACTTTGGATACTTCACAGAAGTATCACAGACAGGGTGGCTGCTATCAGTGGGAACCTCTCCAGCTTCAAGGGCAGCCTTTGGGTTAGAAGATACTGACCAGTGAAAGTGACCTGGTGGGAAACCATAAATAATCAAGCTTTCAGAACTGCTCTGTGAAAGTTTTTTCAACTGTTCCTGCTTAACCCTAGCTGTTTTAAGATATTTCCCTGAAAACAAGAGCAAACACAGCAATAAGAGAGCAGTGACCGATTCATTACTAGCTAACACTCATGATGTCTGAGGATATTGTTAACATTTTCCCCACAAAAGCAGTAGATAATTTTGATCAAAAAGCCTTATGCCAAACTGTATGTACATACATCAACTAGTTTGAGGACTGTTATATTTGCAGAGTTTTTAAAACTCAATGAAACACTTACCAAGCTTGTTGAATCCAGCTGCATTGTAATACCACTTGCGAAGCCTGTCTATCAGGCGACCACCTCCTGCAACTGAATGTGACCATCATCAGTTGCACAGCAAGATAAAATTCAACATTTACACACTACTATTACAGTACACAAACATTTGCCGGCCTCCTTCACATGCAGTAATGCAACACTACATCAAGCCTGAACCCGAACATACCTGACTTGACCTCTCTGCTTTTCAGTATCCCTTAACTGAAACTGAATAGGCAGAATGAGTGCTTGTTAGGTACAATAATTTGATGTCTGTTTCACTAAATTTGAGTATTAGACTGCTTTAAGATTGGGAACAATGCTTAGCAGTTCATTGTCAAAGACAGCACCAATATTTTTAGTCCCCATAACTCTTACTTGAGCTAAGAACATGATGCTCTACATAAACAATTTGAAAAGCATGACGGTTTTGCTCTCACTATGGGTTAATTCACTTTCAAGGACAGCATATTATGATGTTGTTAACCTTTCGCTCTCCTCTCATTACCTAAATACTATTCCAAAGCCTCCTTTTTCAAAGAGCTGCCCCCCCATTTGCTTAAAAAAGAAAAAATGAAACACACCACATATAAAACGTTCATCTTTCCTTAACTGTGACTTTTGGATAGCAAAGGTGTTTTTACGTGCAATCAAGAGTACAGTGCAGTAGCAGATACCATTAAAGTCACTCAACAAGGGGTCTAGAAATCCAGGAACAGGACAATACGGGCAATGCAGCCAGGGCAATCTATTTTCCATGACTTTAGGTCAGCCGTCTCATTAAGTCACCCCATAAAACCAATCCTATATGCGATACCAGATCCTAATAAGGCCTAATCACATCTTATTCTTTCGTACTTTTGGCCTTCAGAAATAATAACATCAGGCCATCTGAGCCTGGCGTCAGTATCCGGGCAGTACAGTGATTCCCGAGACCCCTCCGGAGCAACCCAAGGGCTCTTCCAGCGCTCCCGAGCACCCTCTGCCCCACCGCTCCTGGCAGATCCCGGTACCGGAGCCCGGCTCCCCCCGCCGTGTTCCACACCGAGGAGACGGCAAGGAAACCCTCCCGCCAGGGCCGCGCCAGCGCTACACCCGCTGCCCCCGTCAAGGGCACAGGGCGCACGCCGCCCCCGGGCTCCCCATCTCCCCCCTCACGGCCCGCCTCGCCTCTCGGGGCGGCACGGAGCGAGCCCCACACCGCAAACAGACGACAGAACGGCCCCCCACACCACCACGCACCCTGTCCGCTCACCGCCTCCCCCTCACCTGATGCCCTCGCCGCCATCTTGACCTCGGCGCGGCGCGCTGCCTTCTGGGTAACCCGCAGCGTCCCCGGGGGCGGGGGCGGGCCCGCCAATGCCGCCTCAGCGCTGGCGCATGCGCCCCGCCGCGGGGGCCCGGCACCGGCACCGGCACCTCTGCCGGCTCCGCTTACCCCCGGCGAACACCCCCGGGGGACGGACACTGCCCGTTCCCCTGCTTCGGCCTCCCGCTAGGCCGCCTCCAGGCGCGGGGGCCGCCTCGTAAGCGCCGCGGGGCGCCGGGCCGCGCTGAGGGGGGGGAACGAGCGACAGGCCGAGGCGTTAAGGCCGCGACTCTCACCAGAGTCTTAAGTAACGGCGTTGGAGAATCGGTAATTAAGCCAAGATTAATCAGCGGTTGCTCAGGGCGAGGAGCAGGGCACGGTCTCCTCGCGGCGTGTCTGCGAACGGGCAGCGACTCAGAAATCCCGGTGTTTCTCCACGGGAGTCCTGGGCCTTCGGTCCCGGTGCCCGCGTTTTGGGCTGCAGGGCCACGGCTGGAGCTCAGAGCCCGGAGAACCAATGTGGACAAGCGCTGGCTTCCCTGTGCGGTCCCATTGAGGCAGCTGAGCTGGTGTAACTGTTACCTGGGCGCTGTGAACATTCTTTAGACCCAACAACCGCAAACTGAGGGGTAAAGGTGAATGTCAGCTGAAAATAAGTTTATGTTTGTAAAGCACAGCAAAGCAGCAAGCCCACCAAAGAGAGGAGCAGAGACCCCTCTCTGCACAGGTACGGCAGCTGCCAGGTGAGCGGCTGTGTTTTCTGAGACACACAACACTGCCTCGCCCAGCAATTCCTTCAGACAAAGACCACTTTTAAAAGAAATAAAATAAATACATCGAATTATTGTAGAAATACTGCTACAGTAGGCGGTTTCAGTCAGAAAAGCACGTGGCTGACGGTGATAAGCAGGCAAACAGCAGGGCTGAGAGTGCCTGTCAGCAGAGCACAAAGGGTCTTCGCTGTATTGTACCCAGCAAGCCTCAATTAATCAACACCCTCAATCAAAGGCTGCTCACCCTTATCAAGAACAGCAGACTACAATAAGTTCGGTAATTCTAGGCCAGACATTTCTTCTAAAGATTTTTTTTTTTTTTTTTTTTTCAGGTGTTGTATTGCTGGTGGAGTATGTGCAGGTGCCACACAACGGTTCGGAGGGGCGATGCCACACACTGAGGAGCGGTTCGTGACAGTGAGGCTGTTGTGGGTTGGGTTGGTGTCTAATAGCAAAGTATCATGTGGCAGCTCAGTGAAGTTTTTTTTCTTTGTTTTTGCAGGCACTGTGGGGGCTCCCTTTGAAATGGGATGAGAGTTTGAGGTGAGCCAGGTAGTAAAGAGGAGGCACCTGGGGCTGGAGACTTCTTGTACTTTCAATGGTGGTTTTGTGTCGCTTGGTTTTTTTAGGCACCGCAAGGAGTGACTGCCGATGAGTCCAACTCTGGAATCCATGCGGAGCAGGAGAGGAGAATGACACGGCGCAGGTGAGGAGGGGAATGTTGCCAGAAAGGTCCTTGTCGGCCCACGTGATGCTCACCGACAGCACTGCTGTATATGCAATGGGCTGTTTATTCTTTCCTTTTTTTTTTTTTTTTTTTCATCTTAAAGCCAAAAAGTATTTGGCACGATCCTCAAAAAGTTCTTCTATCCTCTCTCCCCTTTCCTTTTAGCACTCCCATAAAATCTTCTGCTTCCTCTCCTCATGGTATTTCTGGGAAGCTATTTTGGCATAAGCTCATGCATTTAACATTTCAAAGATACTGGTTTAACTCTGGCAGCAATCATTTCTATTTTTAAAAATATTAAAGGAATTAAAAGCTCAAATTTTGAGACATGAAAAATATACACATTTTAGACTATAATTTATTTTATAATGGTTTGTCACTTGATATTATAAATCGTGATAAGGACATCAGAGTAAAGCTGCAAAAGCAAACTCTCCTTTGGCGTTATGAATCCACATACTTTGTATTAACATTAATTTTTACTATAAATATTAATTTTTGCTAGATGAAGATTATAGTTCATTATTAGCATTTAATACAGTCAAAATCTAAGTAAGAATATTGGACTTAGATATTTTTATTTAAAAGGAGGGAGTGGGGGAAAGTGTTTAGCCATCGCTTTTCAGCCACCATTTGAGATGAAATTTGTTATGCATCTCCACCAAGAACTGTCTACTTAATAGAGGATTTCAAGTGTTCTTCCCATGCCAGTGGAGTGGGAAACAAGAGACCAAAAGACAAAAGAAAGCATCTCAGATATATAATGCAGACAATGAATGTGGCTTTTTACTGTGCTTCAAGTGAAGATGCCCCAGTAAATCATTTTGCACCCTGCTTGTTCTGACAACACTCCTTTTCTTGGGTGTTGTAATTCAAATTCCAGATTTTTATTTTGGATAAAACACCCAAGTCCCAATCCAGAGATCACTACTATTCTCATTCTTTAAATGTCTCTTTAACCTCACTTTGTTTCCCACCTATTAGGGGAATTTAACCTTTTGAATTTTATTCTGCTATCTGCATACAAATTGGTATTTTAAGCTCCAACACCGAGCTTTTAAAACATTGAGGCTTTTTCATTAAATGAGCTGAAATCCAAATGAAAACATCTGGATTTCAGTTTCCTGAAGTGTTTTAACTGAAAGAATTCCACTAAACAATGAACTATCAGGCAGTTAGCATTTGGGTTTAGTCAGTTTCTTCACTTCGCTCAAATACAGCACTATCAAATGCTCCACAGTGTATTAACAGGATTTATCTGCTGGTAAGATTAAGTATTTTTAATACTCCCACAATTCCTAATGTTGGTATTTACTTTAGTTGTTATAACTGAGCAAGAACAAGGTAACTGTCCACTAATTATATACTACACCCACTTTTTGTATGGTTACTTGTAGAGTAAAGCCATACAAATCTCATTGGGGTTGGGAAGAAGTTTTTTCCCTCAACAAGCTGAGGATAAAAGTGACTTAAAATAAGCTCCTTCTAGATTCCAGGGACAGGTACAGTTTTATTTTCTTTTTGTAATGTGCCTAGATTAAGTTTGACGATTTTCTTTGATATTTCAAAACAAGTTTCACCGCCCAATTTTTAGGATATTAACTTGAGCAGCCAGCTTCACAAAGAAACACATTTGTAACCTGTTAGAAAATGTCTTTTTGCATGAGGGGCTTCACATGTGTAACAGTGTGCTTCTTTCTACCATACGAGGAAAAGAATAACATTATTGCTCTTAAGATAAATGCAGGTAAATGCATAACAACTTTGCTACTACAGTAGTTGTTATTCTAAGTTTTGGGGAGGGAGGATGCAAAAATGGAATAAATTACTAGCCAGTTTTTCCATCTCCCAAAACTCTGAAATTATTGAAAAAAAAAAAAGAAGAATCGGCTTTAATTTACTTCTCTGTTAGTGTGCTGCATCATTCACTACAAATTAAGGTAGCAATTTATTACAAGGATTTCATCAGTAGCAATCAACATATATTCACTCAATCCTTCTGAAATATATTTTTAAGTTGCCATAAAAAATATCACTGTCAGCCTTTAAATCCTACAAACGTTTCATAAGCAACAACTTCTTAAATCAGTAATTAAGAAGCAATTAAAAGACCATAAAAGGGAGCAGTTTTATAAAATATGTTTATTTCATAACTTTATTCTACTCCTTTTTACATGTGTTACTAATTAAAGTGTTTTTAAGAATTTTTCAAAGTCCTGTATAGAAGCTTTGGCAATCTCTGTACAAAACACCTCATCGGGCAAGGAAACTAGCTGGTCCAGAGAGATGTAGCTGGGTTGTGCTGGGTCATACTGGGCTCTTCCCAAGAATGTTAGAAACATGTGTCTCTCTTTGATTCGTAATAGCTTTGAGTTGAAAACCTAAGAAAGAAAGGGAAGAATTTTTTAGTTTGTCTAAATTTCAGACCCTGATAAGAGTATTTTTAAGACAAACTGAAGATCTAGGAAGAAAACAAATATTTTGCATCTTCTCATTTATGTCAAACACCAGGCAGGTTACATTATATAAAAATTATCTTAATTCTAAATAAATGCTTTGATACAACATGCTGAGGTACACACACAAGGGAAATCAGGGAGTGATACAACTCTACAGCATGTTAGATTTTTTTGTTTGTATATCATAATTATATTACGTTTATGTAATCACAGCTAAGAAAGTGGAGAGGAGACATTCAGAAACAGGGAGCAGGAATACCTAAGCGTTTCCCCTATACTATCAGAAGCATTTATTTATACAGCCAGATTCAAATGAGCACAGTTCTAAGGAAGAAATGAACAGGTGGCCACATGGTGAGTGGCAACAGAAGAGGTGAGTGGCTACACCTCCTGTCATAACAGAGCCAAAAGGCACAGTGCCGTGGTTCAAAACAACCGCTTGTCTTCTGCCGCACAGCAACCTCTATGTTTGAAGGTATTTGTCACAAAAAGAATTCCAGACAGTGAAAGGCAAGAACAATAGTAAGGGAAACATGAAAGAATCAGTCAAACATCTAAAAAGAAAGTTAAGTGGGGGAGACAAGAGATGGACAATTAAGAAGTCTTAAAAGCAGAGATCTAACTGCATTTCTGAGCAGTAAAACTGAAGAGAGAGATGTTGCTTTAGAGAAGATAACAGTGAAAACATGAATGCTACAGCAATGAAAGTGAGCCTTTTTACTAAAAAGGAGAGACTACACTAGTGAAAGATTTCATGAGGATGCAAACTAACTTGAACTAAGACAGAAAGCAAATCCACTTTTCCTCCTCTACCTTCCTTGAATTTTAAGAGGGAGTCAGAAGACAGAGGAAAAACCTTAACCAGAGTTTATGGGGCTAGCAGGAAGGATAGTTACCACAGCAGCTGTAACATCCAAGAGGATTTGACAAAAAAATAGTCCTGCATGCCTCTTATTTTCAGCATGGCTGTCATTCAGGACAGAAGCAAGAACAAATGGAGACAAGTACACATTTGTGAATGCACAGGTTAATGGCCAGACTGTGTGTAGACTGGGTTGCACTAGCCATATCCTGGAACTCACAGTTTTTGAGGATGGAAGGGAAGAACAGGGAAGAGAGACAGTGACTGTGCCAAGAACAAGGAATAGAGGAAACTGCACTTATCCTTCCAAACAGAGGGAAGAGAAATAATGAGATGAACCACCACAAAGGCAACAATAAGGCAACTGAGAAGGAAGTGAGTAAGACTTGTGGTCAAGGAGGGCGAAAGTGACACACAGATTGGAGTTATAGTAAGCTTCCTTATTAAGCAATGATATATTAAATAGCAAGTTAAGTAATCAGAAACCTGGGGGGCAGTTTTATTTCCCCATATAATTTTGGCTTTTTAGCCGGTTAGATTAGACAGTTAGATTCCCTACTAAACTTGCTTTAGGAAGAAAATTATTGCAGTTCAGAACTTCTAATTTGTGCTTTCTTTTTTTCTTGTAAGACGCTAGTGTGACTGCATGTCAGCATTGGATGAAGTGACTAATACTTTCAGCTTCTAATTCATGTGGAAATAACAGTAACGAGGAGATAGAAAAAAGCCGAGATAGTCATGAAGAAACTAATCTATTTTCACTCCTGTGATTTTTTAGCTATTGCTGCAGCAATAGGGAGATCAATGAGAATCTGATTGCCTAATGGACACAACTTCTCTTAAATTATATTTTCAGATCCTAGAATCTATAAAATTTATTTTTTAACTAGACAAATCCAAAATAAATGCTTATATATACATATATATGTAATCTAATGAACATATCTTCTGCGTGCCCTGTCTTTCCTTGTGTTTCTTAGCTAGATAAGATTTCAGGGCAAGGAATCCCTAGGCAGGCAGTAATCTCTCTTGTGTGAATCCAGAAGAGATGAGCACGATTACTTCTGTTGAAAACTTGAAAATTGACAAGACTGGGGGTGGTGGTGGCGTCACAAGTGCCAAAGGGAGAAGAAGGACACTTCCCCACTGGAATCCTCAATGATTCCAATCCTCAATCCTGAATTGCTAATAAAAGTTATTCAATTAGAGTAAAAGCTACAGACAAGTTAAAGAATTCACACGTGTCCCGCATGAAGCCTCTGTGCAAAGAGCACCTACAATTTTTTTCCAGATGAACAGCTCACCTGAGGAAAGCGAGTAAGCATGTGGTGGGGAATGCCCATTATGTTGTGTAGGTAGTCAAAGGTCTGTCGGAGTCTCTTCTTACTTGCAGTTAAAATCTTGGGGGTTTTAAACACAATCTGTTGAATTTCATTGCGTTGAAAACCAAGTTCAATCTGACAAACCTGAAAAAGAGCACATTTTAGCTTCAAAAGTCAGCTACAGCAAACTTAGCTTATTTTGATGTGCCACTGAAATAAACTGATGTGAAACTCTCCTACCCTTTGTCACACAGCAACAAGAATGCAACCCACGATGCTATCTGCCACTCCAGTTCTTCTCAAAACAGAGAGTGCAAATTATTTATCATTCTGCAT